CAGCTACAGCTGCTGCAGCAACTGCAGCAGCAACAACTGTGGAGCAACGCTGCCTCCACCTGTTGCAACAGCGCAAGTGCATGGCGTTTGCTCTCTGCTGGAAGGTAGCGCAGCAGCATTTGCAAAACTTCCAAGCCATCTTGCTGCAGTACGTGGCTCCTGTCCTTTGCTGCCGCTGTAGCTGCTGCTGCTGGCAGCAACGGCAGTATCTTCTGCTGCTGGCTCTGCGGAAGTGAGCTGCAGCAAATCGCAATGCACCGCTGCAGCAGGACCTGTTGCACGCAGCTGCTGCAGCTACAATTTTCGGCACTCTTCTTTGTGCAGCAGCAAGTGCTGCTGTCGGCCTCTGACACAGCAGCAGAAACTGCAACTTGAACGGTTGCAGGTAGAAAAAGAAATAGTGCGTCCTCTTCAAGACTTTCATGTAACAACTGCTGAGAGAAAGCGAATCGTTCCACAGGTGGAAGCAACTGCAGCAGCTTCTTAACAAGCAACCGCAAAGATGAAACGATCGATGATAGTGTTTGCGCTTGTTGCTGCAGTTGCTGCTGTTGCAGCTGCTGCTCTTGCAGTTGCTGTTGCAGTTGCTGCTGCTGCTGCAATCGCTGCTGATTCAAATGCTGCTGTACATACGCAACTGCGACCTCTCTTAGCAGCCCAGTGAGCTCTTTATTGCCAAGGAGCAACAGAAGAGAGGAAGCCGGGTTCAGCATCGCAGGCTGCTGCTCCTCGTGCGCTTGCTCCTGCTGTTGCCGCTGCCTTCGCTGCTCCGTGTGGTGCCTCTTTCGCGGTTTCTGCTGCTGCAAAATTGTGCTGTATATGCACAACGCGCTTGCCGTTCCGTCTGCTGCTGACGCCAAAAGGCGGAGCTTTTCTGCTGCTCCAGCATTTAGGAGCTGCAACTGCAGCTCTTCCTGCGGATTCTGGTGCTGCTCTTCTTGCTGTAGCTCTTTCAGGGACTTCGCGGCCTTGGATAGGGTATCGCACAGCCTCTGCAACAGGCTCCTGGGGAGAGCTATATCCCGAGCTCCTGGCTGCTTTTGCACCTTTTGCTGTTCCTCATCTTGTTGCTCCTCGAGCTGCAGCTCATTTGTGTTCCATCGACCTACGAGGACGCAGCCGCAAGCAATCGACACCTCAGCTACCGCAGCTGCTGGCAGCAACGTGCAAATAGGTGGTTGCTGCTGGTCTTTCTGTTCAGCCTCTACGTCGACGCTGCTTTCGTTGATGCTGTCGAGTGCTGCTGCAAACGCAGCTCCAACCCCCTCTGCAGCAACTCTCAACAGCAGCCTTGCCTCCCGATGCTGCTGCATGCAACCAGTAGATAGAAAAATCTGCTGAAGCGACCGCACGCAGGCCGCGTAGGCGCTGCCGCCAACACCCGTCGCCGCTGCGTTCTCTGCTTTACCGGCAAGAGCTGTAGCAGCAGTACTAGAAGGCTCGCTGCTCAGGACTGCAGCAATGCCCTTGCTGCTGCAGTCCGCATTCAGTCTGCGGTGAAAGGCAGCAGTAGCCCGCACCAGTTGCTGCTGCAGCACAGTTTCCCGCTGGAGCAGATGTTGCTTCAGGCTGCTCCTCCCTCCTCCGTCTGAAGTTTCAGCATCAGAAGCTGCTGCTGCCGCATGAGGCAAACTTACGAATCCAGTTACACAAGACAGCAGATACGCTGCTGCTGCTGCCGCCGTTGCCCCAACTGGTTCGCTTGAGGCCACGATTCCCACAAGCCGGAAGAGAAGCAGCTGCGCGTCCGGAACTTCCCAGGCTAGTTCATGGCCCCTCACCAATAGCAGCTGCAGCAGATCCTGCAGCAGCTGCTGAAGTAACTCCTGAAGTTGCTGCCTAAGCTCGGGTACTGCCGCTGCTGCATGCATGCAGCCGCTTCCTTGTGCGGCACCCAGCAACTGTGACATCAGTAGCAAGCCACCTTGCACCTGCATCTTTTCATCAACGCTCATACAGGTACTGCTGCAGCTGTTGCTGTCCCTGTTACTGCTGCTGCTAGAGTCTAGCGCTGCTGCCGAGAACCATGGAAGACGACAGAGAACAGCAAAAGCGTCTTCGCTCCCTTCGCTGCCGTTGCTGCTGGAGCTGTCGTTGTTCATACAGGTAGCAGTGTCCGCTAAAGCCTCTTTTAGTTGCTGTTCCTGCTGCTGCATTGAAATACCTGCCGTTTGGATTACATGCTCAAGCAGCGGCAGCGCTGCAACCTTTAAGCAGCATAAACAGCTGACAGGACCCGCAGCAGCAGCTTCCATAAGCAACTGTAGGATGAGCCTGCTTGTTGGAGTGGTTATTTGCTGTAACTCTAGCAGTGGTGCAGCAAGGGGAAGCAGTAAATCCTCCGCCTGCTTGAAAGATAAGCTATCGTCGGGCTCCTTCCCATAAGGTTGTTGCTCCTGCTGTTGCTGTTTCTGCTGCTCAGATCCTTCCTGCCCTCGTCGAAGAAGCAAGCCAAACATGTCCACAGTTTCAAGGGGCAGTAAATCGTCTGGCTGCTGCTGCTGCTGCTGCAGCAGCAGCGGCCCGAGCTGCAGCGCAGCGTCACCAGCAGCAGAGGGTTCATAATAGGGAAGGCACATAGCAAGGGAGTTGACCGCTTTTTCCAAAGGGTTTCCGTCTCCCTTCCCAGTATTGCTGCTGCTGCTGCCGCAGTCCTCTATAAGAGACGGCACAAGGTCAACAGCAAGCGCCAGGACCAGAGGCCCGTACAGGCGCGAGGCAGAAGCAGCAGCAGCAAATGCTTCACTTAAGGCTGACTCTGCAGGTTCGCAAAAAGCAAAGGAGGCGAAGGCAAACGGATGAAAAAACAAAAACGGACGGATACGCAGACAAGAAAACAGATACAAAGGAAGAAGAGACACTTAGAGAACGATGAAAGAAGAACACGAAGGTTCGATCCCCGGGATGGACACCATAAAGAGAAGGGCGGCAGCGCTCTACATTGCAAAGGCTCGCGCCGAAACCAAGAAGCAGCAAGTCCAGCCAGCTGCTGCAACAGCAATAGCACCCAACGGCAACACCGAGCACTGCAAGCCAGAACTAACCTGTGACACAGGCGACAGCATTAGGTGGCGGTGAAAACGAGACCGGAAAATAGGACATAATCAGATCAACTGAAGCTTCAAGCTCACTCTCCCTCATGAGCGAGCTGTATGTACGCCCCAGCTCCTTCACAATAGCAAACAGGAGCAACAGGCATCGGGGGTCCCGTTCTCCCTCTAGCTGTCTGCTGATTTCAAGCACCAAAGCTTCTTTCCGCATCTCCTGCTGCACTGCCTTAGCGCACTCTTGCAGTAGCAGTAGCAGCAGCTGCAGTAGCAGCTGCCGCGTGCTCTGCGCAAACGAAGGCGTGTGCACCTGGTGCAGCAAAGAGCGCAGCATGAACAACCCCACGGTGCAGTCCTCCGTCCAGTACTTTCTGCTGTTAGTGTTGCTACTGTCATTGCTGTTGCATTCGCTGCTGGTGCCTTTTGGTGAGGGAAGCAGCAACTGCAAGAGCCCTGGCGATGAGCGCGCGACAGCGAGGTAACAAGAAGCGCCCCCCTCTGTTCCCTGCCAATCCGTCATATATCTGTCGCTGCACTGCAGCAGCAGCTGCCACAAAGCATCGTCTTCCGACAGCCTTTCGCCGTCGCCACTGCTGCTTTCATTTGTACTTCCGTTGCTCTTGTCGATGCGGCAGCCGCTGCTGCCATCAGTGTAGCTGCCGCCCTTGCTACTGCTGCTACTCTTAGTACAAAGAGGCAACTCCGGCATACGCTGTAGGATCTGTGCCGGTAGAGCCGCTGCGGCTTTCCGAGTTTGTGCTGCCTTGACATAGTTGGTACAATCAGTTGTTGCCGATGTTACACTTGTGGTTGCTGCTTTCGTCGCTGCGACAATGCATGTTTCGGTGTAGCTGAGCACTTCAGGAAAGGAAACACGCTTCGAATGAAGGTGTAGCAGCAGAGCAGTCAGTGCTGTTTCTTGTATCTGTTTCGCTGACGCTGTTGATACTGTTCCCTTGTCCGCATCGTCATCAGCAACGCCTGCAGCAAGTCCGCAGAGCTGCCGAATATTCTCGGCTGCTTCATCTGGACACAAGTAAGCAGCAACTGCCTCCTTAGTGGTCACTGCTGCGAAGCCTCCTTCCTCTGTGGCCTCGCCAGGGGTTGCTTCGGCTCTGACTTTTTCTGTTGCCTCTGTCGCATTTGCATCAGCAGTTGCCGCAGCGTCCACTGAAGGTGTTACTGATACCCGTGTTGTTGGAGCTGCGTCTTTGGTAAGATCAGTGTTAGACGTTACAGAATCTTCCATCTTCTCGTATAGCAATTAATGCTCATATAGGGGCTCAAGCCGTTGCTGCTGCTGCAGCAGCAGCTATCGGTCCAACTGCTGTACTCTATATTCGGCGTGCATACGGAATAGAGGAACAAAGGAATGTTTAAAAACAGAGAACTAGATGCAGCTAAGACTAAAGAGCAGCAGCTGTGGCTCTGGGGGGCTGCAGCCCCAAGGCTGCTGCTCGTGTTGCATCGTCGATGCAGCATAGTAGCAGCAACATCAGCACATGGTGTTCTTGTCAATTTATGGTGCTGTTATTTTTCGTCATACCTTAGTTGTTCGCTTTCACCAAGTGGTGCGGCAAATGCTCCAGCAGCAACACCTGCTCGCAGTGTTAAGACTGGTCAAATTTACAATGTCGTTGTCCTTTTTTGCCATCTCTTAGCCACATTTTTAAAACAAACACCGCAGCAGTTGTAATAGAATGGCTGTGGCAAATCATGCTGTAGGGATCCAGCGCATTACTAGACAGTAGCAACGGGAACCCATTGTCCCGGCATCAGCAGCAGCTGCTGCTGCTGCTCCTACTGTAACAAGTAAGAAGGGAATCCAGAGCATCAAGCCTTCCTGGGTTAGCAGCTACGGCAGAGTCTGCAGAAACGGGAAGAGCAGCAGCAGCGGAATTTACGTACTAGAAGCAGCAATCGCAGCAGTATCATTAAAGATTCTTTGAACAGATGAAGCGCTCTTTACAGCTGTTAAAGACAGCGCTGCGGGCGCAGCAGCAGCAAAGAAAAACTAAAAAGGGAAGGAAGCAGCAGCAGTCAGAGCAGCAAAACGTGCAAAACGGACAGCAACTGCGGGACTCTCAACAGGATCAACTGCAGCGGAAAAAGTTGCATCAGACGGAGAAGGAATCAGAGCACTCCTCAGATGCCAACGATAAGACTTCCGTATGTGCTTTAACTTTTCTTAGCCTTTTTCTTTTACATGTTTTAGGAACAAGTTTGCACAGACATGTTTCATGCGCTCACAGCTCTATACATATTGCAGCCGGCGCTCGTATGAACAGACGTGCGCCGGTGTAGGTACGTGTGTATGTAACAATATGTATATAGTCACGAATGCGTCGAAGTGCATCCCATGCCTGTGACTCGCGTCCCGTTTCTTGCATTTCTCTGGCTTTGTTTCTTTTCGCATAACTGCTTCTGTGATTGTTTGAAGTCGCGCTACCTGTCTCCTTGCCCACTCTCCTCTTAACTGCGTACTATTATTCTGGAGCTTATTGCTGCTTTGTACTTGCGTCGTTTCTGTGTTCTTTGCTCCACATGCAGTGCTATTTGTTCTGTTGTGTTTTAATGTTTGTTCTACCATTGGTTTCTGCTGGTATCTGCAGAAAGTTCCTCTGGTCCTTTTTGTCGGCAATTTGCCGCTTTCAGTCTCCGCACAGGAAGTGAAGGAGTTCTTTGGGCGTAAATTGCGTAAGTTGTGCATGTTTCTTTCCGATTTCCTCAGCGACTTGAAATTGCATTGCTGTCTTGTTCATTTTCTATACAAGCAGTGCACTTGTGCATCGGATATAGTGCCAAGAGTGTCTTTCTTTTTCAATATATTAACGCGACTTGTGTCTTTTTTGTTTCTTGAAGGCGATGCAAGCGATAAGTAACTGCTGCATCTGCGCTTTCCATTGTGCACTTCGTCATTTCCTTTGCTGCGTCCATTTTGTTTATTTTCGACGTCTGCTGCTGCATTCCACATTTGCATATATAGAACTTTTCATAAAAGACGTTCGCTTGCTGACGGAAAAGGATACAGGGGCGTCAAAGGGCTGCGGATTCGTGGAGTTCACAAATAAAGAAGCATTGCAAGTATGCAGTGGCAGCACATCCGGAATACGTAGGAAGCCTTCCGTCACCTGTATTTTGCGAAAAAGCAAAGTCGGTCCACAGCCGCTTCTGCTTTTCTCAGATTATTGCAGTGGTGTTCCTGTGGAATGTATGTTTCGTATTCTTTTGTTTACTTGTACACGCAGATCGCACTGAATTATGACGGAAGAACCCTTAGCGATCGGAAAATCAGAGTGGAGCTAACGGCTGGCGGGTGCGCCCCTCGTGCATAACACCTACATTACAATATACACTAGTTTTAAGCAAAAGGATAGACACTTTCATTCCGCGCAGCGTTGGAAAGGCGGCATTCCATTGTGAGAAAAACACTTCATAGGCTCAAGCGTCGTCTTCACGGAGCAGTTGGTCTTCAGTACTTGCTGTGCTTACTCAGAGGCGGCAAATCGAAGAACCGAGCAGAAAAAATAAAAAGGAAAAACCAAGATATGAGAAAACGCAGGGCAAGTAACGTTTTGCTTCTGAATTTGTCCATTCTCACGTTAGCTCACAGTCAGTCCCTGTTCGCTTTCTTGGGGTGACTTGCAAGCAGGATGCTAGCCAGGTGCTTCACTTCAAATAGTTGCAGCTCTCGATTTCCTGTGGGCTTCAGGCAGCACTGTTGAGGAAGAAGAAAGAGAAAACGAAGGAAAAGATAGAAGAAAAGACGGGAGGCTCCGCCGCTGCCCCGTCGGTGACACGAAAGCCTAATGCCAAACGCCCGCCAGATGCGCACCTTTTGAGAGAGGCAAAAAAACGCAGGGAATGAACTCCGCATTGATTAAATTTGTATGACATCTTTATCCCTACAGAGTAACCGCCACATTGGAAGAGAAGTTGGTAGATGCAGCTGGAATGCTCCAGTAGATGTAGATGTGAGCTGGAGGCAAAAGGGCAGCGAAAATGTCGTATTTATGCTGCGGCTCGTATTTGGAACGGTTGGAAATGCTGTGGGAGAGTCACTTTGGCTGCATTTAGTTCCTATTTACATCCCAGAAGCACCTGGAAAGTGAAAAGGCCGCTGCTCATTAGTGCATTTTAAAAAGACAGTGCACCAGCGAAAGTATTCGAGGAAGGCTGTATTCGCTCTAATGGCGCAATTATCCCAAGCAACTGTTCCGCCTGCTACAAGGCCACAAAAGAGGAGGCAGTTTAGCGCTTGAAGAAGTTTCATAGCATTCACACCTGTATCATCGTCACGGTTCGGGTTCACAGCAGTTGCTACAGCTGACTTCAGCTCTCGTGCCTATGACGGCCAGCGAACAACTACAGCATCACAGAGCAGAATTAACTGGCGTATCACAGCACTGTCTGCAAAGTTGCCTTGGCCAGTTCAACGATGTTTCCAATCTCACCATGGCCTACTCTGCTGCGCCGAATAGATGGTAGATGCTGCTTTAGCATCACATCAGTCAGGCGTATTAGGGTTCGGAGCAGTTGTTGCAGCTGACTTCAGCTTTCGCGCCTGTGGCTGGCAGCAAACAACTGCAGCATCAAAAATTAGAATTAGTGGGCATATTAAGACGTCTGCGAAGTTGCCTTTTGCGAGGTCAACGATGTTTCCAGTCTCACCATTCCCCCTTCTGCTGCGCCGGATACATGGTAGATGCTGCTGCAGCATGGCACTCATTTTGCACTTATCCACCACTTACAGAGCATTGCACCCAATCAAAACAGGTAAGCGAGGTGAGCTGGACGACTCAGAAAAACGAACATCAGCAGCGGAGGCTTGCGAGTAGAGGTGCACCGCAAGCTTAGTTGTCTCACGCTTGCATTTGTAAGAGGACCGCGCGTCCCAGGCGTTTGGAACTTGGCACGGAGCAAGAACGCGTGAAGGAGAGGCAACTGAGGTGCAGTTTCGCTTCATTTTTCTGCTGGTCTGAAAGGTAATGGAGAAGAGGAATGGGAGCGGGGAAAGAGGAACACTGCAATGTCGGATTACGATGCAGGTGAAGCAAGCCATCCATGAGTGTATTAGTTTATCAAGGATACTGTGCATGCACACTTTGCAAGCCCTGTAGGTGAAATAGGACTTTTCGCTGCTTGAAGATGTGTAGAAGTGCAACAAGGGAAGCTCCAACAAAGGTTTCTAACCATCCGACACATAAAAGAGTCACGACAGTGACTCTTTTGGCAGGCGCGCGAAAAGTGTGAGCGTCGCAACTACTGACATTAAATGACACGAATTAGGCTCGGTTTGTAGGCCTTAGTTCTGTACAGTGTATATTTTCAGCCCAGGAACAACAATCGCCCGTTCGTCCCATCACAATCTCAAGCGCGCGCACTTGTCTGATATGCTTCGTAGTTACTCTGTTTTCAACTACAAAAAGGTGTTGGGTGTTTTGCTGCATGTTAATTCATTCGACTCCCTTGTGCGCACTGAAGCTTCGTTTTCAAGTTGATCTAGTGCACGCAGCTACTGCCTTTGTCTTTAGGGTCAGCGACAGAAGTCGCATGGAGGGCGGCGTAGTGCGATTTTATAGGCCCGTACGCAATATGTGCACATAAGCGAGGCGCTAAATGTGAATGCTATAAACTTTGACTATAGAAATTTAACGTGAAATAATGCTGACCTTCAGCTTTTAGGGAACAATTGGAGGCCTACACACCCGCCTGCAGGCTACTTTTCCTATGAATGTGTTGGTCCAGATACAGAATGGTTGCTCAGTTAGGTAGTTCACCTAACACATACATACATATATATCCATGTTAATTCTTTTATATTCCCCAATCTGAGCTTGTCTACTTGCAGAGAATATTTCGTCCAATCCATATCGGTAAACATTTGGTCAGGGGCTAACAAATGAAGATGAGGAAAAAGACAATGAACGCTTCTTCACAGGTAAAACACAAGGACCCTATAGACCTGTAATATGCAGCAGCAATGCGACTACGATTGACAGCCGTCTTTGGCTTAACTGGAGCTGCTCCGCCACTGTTACCGCAAAATAGGTGTCGTGTGTTCTCTACCTCATACACGTACGTGGGAAGCCTTGCTTGTACAAGCTTTTCCCTTGTGTATAGCTTGTACACAGACCGAATAAGCATAAGACAAGGTGAGAAAGAAAAAAGTGCTTTAGTGCAGGTGCTGTCTGCCACTTGATACGCACTTGCGATTAAGATGCACCAAAATTAGCGAGGCGCACCACAAGCAGCATCGGCTTATTTGCCTGATTGTCGTTTTTGTCCTTTTTTTCTTAGGCATGTAGCTTTGATGTATTTAGATGTTGTTAATTCATTATCCCCAGCTGTTCGTGTTGATTTTGCGCTCCACTGTATGTTTGTTGAATATGTGATTAAGTCAACGGAGTTCGTAGCTGGGTCAAGCGCTGTTGGTGTCATGTACTGCCACCCTTCCTTGTAGGTGACTATGACCCCTAGAGAAGAGTAGTAGTCATAAGAAATTATTCTTCACCGCCCTTTATTCTTGCCGGTTGTCCTTCGTTGCCATAATATTTGTTTTCGCTGCGCTGTTGTGGCGACTCCGTCCTCAAAGTTGGCTTGTGGATTTCACGGGCTTCCATGAGATTGTTAAGTAGCGACTCTTTGAAGCATCTGAGACCCAACTTGGGGTCGAAGCCATGGATCTCCTTTACGTCAATTTTGATCATAAACTCAACTATCGCCTCCGACAGGATCTGTAATGACAGACATAACAAAAGAGCACAGCTGAACTTTATCAATTCTGCACTGGCTAGAGTTTTGCAGGAAAAATTAAGCTCTACATGAGTGGAGCACTAGCGTGAAATGTAATGAAACGTCAGCAACTCAGCCCTTGTTGTGATTTTATAGTAATAGGTAAGTAGGGGAGCAGGTGAACTTCAAAGAGGTGCTACGCACTTGTCCTGGGACGGATATAGGAAAACCAGGGGGGTACGGGATGATGAAGGTGCTGCCGACAAGGACTCTACCGTTTCTGATCAATTCTATGGCTTCCTTGAGGCTGTAATACTCGACGTTTTCCTCGTCGTAACTTAAATAGAAGGGTTCGCGCACATCTCCGTCTCTTATGCAAGCTTCACAGTGTATGCTGCTGCTGTCGCTGGATCCATGATCAACGCTCGTCGGGGTCTCCACAGGGGTACCATCCCCACGTTGCTTGTCACTGTTTCCAATTTTGGTACTCATGGGCTGCAAAGGCACCTGAGAAAACGCGGGATGGAAGCCAGAAAAGTCGGGAAGCGCCGGACAGTCGTGAACAATCCAGTCAATTTGTTGTTCCAACTCCTCCAGCTCGCGGCGGCTGCTCAAGAGCCGCCGCATTTCGAGCTCCTAAGAAACACACACGTCTTAATATTAGCAATAACATTTGTTTTCTGCGCAAGGTAGAGCAAAAATAGCATGGCATGCCTGTAACTTGCTTAGCTATTGTGTAACATGTGCACAGCAGCGCTGCCCGCGATGACGAGGTAAGGTACACAGTTATCTTGAATCCAAATGCTTCACTAATGCTATAAGTGAGTTTCCCAACATCGAAAAGTGAAAAATTATCACTGCCGGCGTGTTACCTGTGCACAGTGTCGAATACAGCTTCTCAGAAAAACACAGGATGATCTGGTGGTGCCGATGTTGGTCATGAACAACACACTGTTTCTTGACGTTTTGTTTATTTGAATTCCGTACTTATCCATCAGCCATTTCACCTTGAAGGTATCCCCATCCAGGCCAGATTTCCTGCAAAACAAAAGCCATACATACCCGGTCAGCGACCCGGGAGTTGAAATGAGCAACGAAGGAATATAAGCAACGTAGTTTGTATGAATGATAACCCGAGTACGCAACTAGAACTAATAATAGTAGAATGCTGGTCCTTTCATTGAAATCGCTCTGTCATCCTTTTATCTTTTTCATCAAAATGATCATTAGCACTGGTGCATCTGCCTCTTACCCTGTGTAAAGTGTAATACGGGTTGGGTCCAAGACGAACTCATCGTCAGAAAGCCAAACTTCCTCCAACGTCTGAACGTTCATTTGCTCGTCAATTAAACCATTTAGGCAATTGTCTTGAACTGAACACTGGCGGAGGCTCGCAGGGATCATGTCGTGGGGTCCTAGGATCTGTGGAGAGCAGCAGTAATTTTCCATCTCTGGTTGTTCAGGTTTCAACGCAAAGCTCATTTTCTGCTCCCCAACTCGTTACATGAAGCCCATTACCCTCAGTGTCATCAACTCTCAAAGGCCGAACTCAGCGCCGGAACCGTATCAGCAGCTCACTTTGAAGTACTTGGATACGAACGGATCCTTGCCGAGTGCGTTCCGTATAAGGAACGCGGCCTCCAGTTGCCTTTCTACAAGTCCGTATCCCTCCAATTCCATTTGAGACCGTCCTACATCTAGTGTTGCTAATATTTGATAATTTGGTGATGTGGACATATGAGTGTAATAGCTTTCCTTGAAGGATGTGTGCACGTGGGACTCGAATAGGTCATCATTCACTAGCACCATCGAACCCTGGCGCAGAGAGGTCAACGACTTATGAGTTGACTGAGTCGCGTAGACGCGGACTTTCACCTTATGTGGATTTGGGTACAAACGATGAGACAAAAGCGACGCAGCGCTTGCCTCTTCCAGTGAGGATACCTTCAACGTGTTCAGCAACGCCGTGTGCAGATGGTGGTACTTCCTCTCCATCAACTGAGAAGGAAAAGCGCAACTGGGGATAAGCGTGAATATAAATTGAGTGGAAAACGGTAGCGAATCTCGCATGATCA